GCAAGAATTTTTTTCCCTTATTTATCTACTATGGTTTGAATGTGTCCCCCAAATTTCATGTGTTAGAAACTTAATCTCCAAATGTGACAGTATTGGATCTTTAAGAGGTGATTGGATCAAGAGGTTTCAACCCTTATGAATGATTAATCCATTTATAGGTTAATGGATTAATGGGCTAATAGACTAGCAGGTAATCATGAGAGTGGAACTAGTGGCTTTTTAAGAAGAGGAAGAGAGACCTAAGCAAGCATGTGAGCTTGCTCAGCTCCTCACCATGTGATTCCCAGAGAGTCCTCACCAACAAGAATCCCCTCACTGATGCAGCCCCTCAATTCTGGACTTCTCAGCCTTCATAACTGTAAGACATAAATTACTTTTCTTTATAAATGACCCAGTTCCACATATTCTGTTATAATCAACAAGGAACGAACTAATACATTATCTAAAATTATCTCTTGAAAGCAATTATAGTAAGGATCTTGCTTTTTAAAAAAACAAAAAATTATTGTATATATTTTAAATTTTAAAAAACTACTTTAGCCAGGTGCGGTGGTTCACCTCTGTAATCCCAACACTTTGGGAAGCCAAGGCGGGTGGATCATGAGGTCAGGAGTTCAAGACCAGCCTGGCCAAGATAGTGAAACTGTCTCTACTAAAAATACAAAAATTAACCAGGTGTGGTGGCAGGTGCCTGTAACCCCAGCTATTTGGGAGGCTGAGGCAGAGAACTGCTTAAACCCGGGAGGCAGAGGTTGCAGTGAGCTGAGATCACGCCACTGCACTCTAGCCTGGGCGACAGAGTGAGACTCCGTCTAAAAAAAAAAAAAAAAAAACTAGCAATACTAGGAGAAAATAAGCCCAAGCCCGGTGGCTCAAGCCCATGATCCCAGCACTTTGGGAGGCCAAGGTGGGATGAGGGCTTGAGGCCAGGACTTTGAGACCAGCCTGGATGACATACCAATACCCCATCTGTACAAAAAAAATTTAAAAATTTTTAAAATTAAAATTTTTTTTTTTTTTTTTTTTTTTTTTTTTTTTTTTGAGACAGAGTCTCGCTCTGTAGCCCGGGCTGGAGTGCAGTGGCCGGATCTCAGCTCACTGCAAGCTCCGCCTCCCAGGTTTACGCCATTCTCCTGCCTCAGCCTCCCGAGTAGCTGGGACTACAGGCGCCCGCCACCTCGCCCGGCTAGTTTTTTGTATTTTTTAGTAGAGACGGGGTTTCACGGTGTTCGCCAGGATGGTCTCGATCTCCTGACCTCGTGATCCACCCGTCTCGGCCTCCCAAAGTGCTGGGATTACAGGCTTGAGCCACCGCGCCCGGCCAAAAAAAATTTTTTTTAAGTGTTATTTACATCTATAGTCCCAGCTACTTGGGAAGCTGAGGCAGGAGGATTGCTTAAGCCCAGGAATTCACTGCTACACTCCAGTCTGAGTAGACCCTGTCTCAAAGAAAAATAAAAAGAAAAAATAAAATTTTATGTGCAAAAAAGTTAGGAAAGGGCAGAGTCAAGTAAAATTTCCCCATATTAACTTAGAAATAGTAATAAGGGCAAAATATTCTAAAGGTTTCATCTGTTAGGGTCCTAGGGAAAAAAAAAAAAAAGGATGGCCTTACATTGAGTCATTTAGGAAGAGTGTAATAAAGTCACTATTTACAAAGCATGGACTGGGCTTAGACAAAGCAAAAGGGACATGCAGTACCCTTGGACTGGTAAGTGTAAGAGCCACTACAGCCACCGTGTCTGTAAGGGCAAGGCGATGGAACCCATTAAAGGAACCTAGAAAGCTGATAGAGGGCCACCTGGCAGGAAGGAACCAGAAAAATAAATATGCCGACTTCCTTGGCCAACCCCTAGAGGTTGGAGGGCAAAGGCAGCCTACTGATGTCATCCTTGTAACTCAGCCTTATGGGCAGAAAGCAGGGCAAAGAAGGGTGGGGAGAAGATTATGAGTAGCAAATGGGGAAAATCTAGCACCTGTCAGAGATGGCTAAGGTACTGGAGTGGCTACTGTGTATCTTAACAAGCACTGAAGACAACAGTACAGAGATTTCCTTTTCTATCATCTTGTTTATATAACCATGCAGTAGGTTTATAAGAAACCTATCATTAAGTGGCGGGTGCAGTGGCTTATGACTGCAATTCCAGTACTTTTGGAGTCCGAGGTGGGCCGGATCATTTGAGGTCAGGAGTTCAAGAACAGCTTGACCAACATGGTGACACCCCGTCTCTACTAAAAATACAAAAAAATTAGCCGGGCGTGGTGGCGGGTGCGTGTAATCTCAGCTATTTTGGCAGGCTGAAGCAGGAGAACCTCTTGAACCTGGGAGGTGGAGGTTGCAGTGAGCTGAGATCGTGCCACTGCACTCCAGCCGGGGCAAGAGAGCAAGACTCTGTCTCAAAGAAAAAAAAAAAGAAACATAACATCAAGTGTTAGGGTTTTGTATTGTGTCTCATTCCAGAAAAAGCCCAGAAATCTGAACTTCCAGTAAGTACTCAAGCTGAGGGCAGTGGTTCACATCTGTAATCCCAGCACTTTGGAAGGGTGAGGTGGGAGGACCGCTTGAGCTCAGGAGTTTGAGAACAGCCTGGGCAACAGCAAGACCTTGTCTCTACTAAAAGTAAAAAAGGAGTCCCTAGAACTCAAGGATAGTCTCTCTTCTCTTGGTCCCTGTCAGGGCTGTGCAGAAACCCCAGAGTCTTGCAAGCCAGCTTAGTCCTGCAACAGACATGCAGAGGGAACATCTGTACCCTGAAAGAGGAAGGTCAGACCCCGACCTGGCTCCACAGGGCCCTGCGAGTCTTTAGGTATGAGTGGCCCAGGCTGCCGGCACTGACCAGGCTCACTTATCTTGGCTCCTGGGCTGAATGGCTGAGCTTTCCAGGCTATGGCTGGGGAGGTCCCTCTCATTTAGCTTCCTTGTCAGCAATTTCCAGAAGGTGAAAGTTACCTGTCCAAGGTAGTAACCTTAAACTGCAATAGAAGTAACTTTCTGGGCTAGAGATGCCAAGGTTGTACCGAAAGTTTCCAAGGCAGTAGAGTACTTAGCCCTGTCTCTGTGTCCCCGTGAAGGCCCTAGTCTTCTTCCTTTGACTGGTATGTTGGCGAACTATAAAGCCTGGGCATGGGTAGGGCAGGCTGCAGGGCCCAGTCTGGCTTCCCGTGGAAGCCAGTGAGTTTCCTATGAAGAGGAAGTTCTGGCTTGTTGGCCTCAAGGGCAGGGAGACAGGCCTTCTCTAACCCCAGCAGTAAGGAAATGCCCATTCTATTCCATGTAAAGGGACCCCTAGTGTTTCCTGGGCTGACACAGAGAAGAGCTATTTATTTCTCAGCTATAGTTCTCTGACTTGGCAAGCTCAGGCTGGAGTGGGGAAAAGCAGATCCAAGACAATCATGTGATGGAATTACACCTGCTGAGTTAAAGAACAGTGCTGCTCCCCAAGCAAACATTCTTGCAGACTCTGCACTGCAAACTCAGCTCAGGAGGCGCTGGGCTCATTTGTCTTTTGCCAACTAAAGGCAAATGGAGGAAGGCAGAGCCTGGCAGCTTCTCCTGCTGCCTGGTGATTTGAGGATCACTCTGCCTCCCTCCCCACTCCACCACTCTCCCACTGGTGCCTAAATAACAGGTATGAATTCGCTCCACTTTGCCAAGGAGCAAGGAAATGCACATCGCTTTACTTTCTTCAATCGAATGGAATCATACTGTGAGCCCCACCTTGCCCTGGCTGGTGCAATCCCCAATATTAATGATTATTGAAATCCCCTCTTTTCTGTTGGGCCATACTAGAATCCAGGGCCCTGCTTGGTAATAGCAAAATGGGACAGGGGATTGAGTTAGCCAACAAAATAGCCACCATTATTAATGTTGCTTCTTTTGTTATGTGACACAGCTATTGGACTAAAAGGATTCCCCTCAAAGTGCCTACTTTACCTGCAGGTTCTACCACAGGGGCCCTCGTCGATATTTCCAAGGTTATATAGTTAGAGAATTTCCTTGAGGTATTAGTCATGTGCCAAGTTTGAGTGGTGGTGGTGATAGAAGGAGTGTTGAGGGAACTTTAGATCTTCTCCCCATAATCTAGGTCAGCATCCCCTGTTCTTTGTTGTAGGTAATTAATATTTTCTCATTTTCATGTATGTAGCCATGTAAACAGCTTAGAGCATCCTCTTCCCCTCCCGGCCTGTCAATCAAATTGCTGCCCCTAAACCCCTCCTACAAAGACATTCTGACTTCCAGGCACCAACTGCTCCCCTAGACACCAACAACCTCCAGAGCCCTTTACAGAAAAGGCACAAAGCTCCATTATTTGAGGATGCCTCTCCTTATGTCCTCCCAGACTCGTAGAATCCAATTCTCTCTCTCATCCATAAAGCTCTAGCTTCTCTCTACCCAGTCCCCACCTCATCCTTTGGGGTACTGCCATCTAATTCCTTCTTGGGCTTGACCCTTGAATTACAGAGAAACCGTTAGCTAACTGCTGCCACCACTACCCCCAAGACAAAATGAGGAACTAAGACTGACCACTGAACACGAAGCCTTGGCTAACTGGGGAGCTAGGAGGTCAGTGAAGAGGAACAGAATTTTTTTTTTTTCCGCCAGGTGTAGTGGCTTATGCCTGTAATCCCAGCACTTCGGGAGGCTGAAGTGGGTGGATCACTTGAGGTCAGGAGTTCAAGACCAGCCTGGCCAACATGGTGAAACCCCGTCTCTACTAAAAATACAAAAATTATCCAGCCGTGGGGGTAGATGCCTGTGATCCCAGCTACTCAGGAGTCTGAGGGAGGAGAATTGCTTGAACCTTGGAGGCAGAGGTTGCAGTGAGCCAAGATCGCGCCATTGCACTCCAGCCTGGGTGACAAGAGTGAAATTCTATCTTAGGAAAAAAAAAAAAAGAAAAGAAAAAGATTTTTTTTTCTTTTTTTCCTATAGCAGAAAGGAAAAAAACAATAAAAAGCCTCATTTGATTATCATCATTTGATTATCGTTCTGTTACCAGTGTCATTCCTTTGGGTGAGTCATTGCTGCCTCCAAGGGATCCCATATTACGATGCCCCCTTGGGAGGGGTGAGGAAGCCTGACTAACACCTGAGTGTAAAGAGGTTCACCCTACACTTCCTGACGTGGCAGGTGAGAGAGTGTGGGTGGGGAATTGGGAGGGGACTGCCTTTCCTTACTTTATAGTCCTGTTAGTCCTGTCCAATGGCTGGTTTTGTGGTTGGCTCCATCAGGTAGGGCCCACCAGGAAGCCTTCTCTTCTTTCCGTTGAAGACAAGCATCCAAGTTTTCTGTGGTTTGTTAGGGCTGGGCAGCCACATCCTTAGCAGGCAGCAAGGTGGGGCAATGACTTCCGATATCAAACCACTTGGGAGTTACTGCTGCTTTGTAAAATACAAAGGCCCAAAGGTAAAATTTGGACAGCAGAGTACTGGAACACTGGCTCACGTATCTGGCAGAGGCACTGAGGCCACTACTGCTGGCCTCTTTCAGTGCCACCTGGGTGGGGGTCAGCAATGATTTCATTCAACTCATATGGTCAGGGGCAAGCACTGGGACAAAGTTCTCCCCAGGAGAGGTAAGAACCAGAAGGGAGCTCCTGGGTCTCATCTGGATTAATAGAAGCCATGAGTATTGACTCTGGCGGGAGCCAGGTTCCTTTGCTTACTAGGTGTGTGACCTTGGGCATTTACTTATGTTCTGTGACTCAGTGTTCTTATCTCTAAAATGGGGATAATATGTCTCCTTCATAGAAGTGTTGCAGGGATTTGTTAGTGTATTTAAAGCACTTGGAAGAGTGCTTGTCACATAGCAAGTATTATATAAATGTCCACTGTGTAGTTACTGTTGTTGCTGTCTACAGAAGCCAGATGTGGACCACAGAGCCAGAAGCCTCGGGCAAGTCTCCGGAGCTGAAACTAGAAAGAGTTATTTATAACAGTTCCCATCCTGCCTAGGGCTACAGATGAGATAATAGCTGTAAAACAATCTCAGCTTCCCTGGGAGGGGCAAGATACCCAGATTCACTGTTAGAATACACCAACAGAGGCTATTTCTTTTGGGCTCTGCAGCCTAAGCAGACCCTCCCCTTAGGTAGTTGAGATACCCACTTAATGGCCATGATTCGAGGGTCCCCAACATATCTCCATCATAGGCTTGCCTCAGTATCTAAAATTTTCTTCAGGACTTCCAGTTTGGAAGATGTAACCTATTCTACAGCCAGACTGCCAGACTGTCTGTGTGTAAACCCTGGCTCTGTCACTCACTAGCTGCATAATCTTGGAGAAGTTACTTAATGTCTGCACCTCAGTTTCTCATCTGCAAAAGTGAGGGTAATGACAATAGTCTCTTGATAGAGGCAGAGTGCGAATCACATAAAATAGTGTGTGTGAAGGTTTAGCAAAGTGCCGGGTACACCCTGAACTGGTGGTAATGGTGGTTTGACTAGAGAAGGCATAAATTTGCAATTTAATAGTGACTACTGGATGAACTTGGAGGACATGACGTTAAGTGAAGTAAACCAGGCACAGAAAGACAAACACCACATGAGTTCCACACATATGTGAAATCCGAAAGAGTTGATTTCATAGAAGCAGAGAGTAGAATAGTGGTTACCGGAGGCTGGGGAGGGTAGGGAAGGGAAGAGAACGAGAGATTGGTCAACAGGTAAAAAGTTACAGTTAGGAGGAATAAGTTCTAGTGTTCTATTACATGGTAGGGTGACTGTAACTAATAGCAATGCAGTCTACGTTTCAAGATAGTTGGAAGATTTTGAGTGTTATTACAAAGAAATGATAAATGTTTAAAGTGATGGGTATAGTAATTACCTTGAGTTGATCATTATACAGTATATACATGCATTGAAACATCACATTGTACCGCATAAATATGTATGATTATTTTGTGTCGATTTTAAACAAAAAATTAATAAAAATATTTATTAAACCACAGATACTCAATTTTTAAACACTTTATAATAACAATTATCACATGTACAAAAATGTTGAAAAACTAATACAAGTAACACCTTTAAATACATCATTTACTTTTTTTCATTATGATTATTATCACTTTTTGAGATAGGGTCTTACTTTGTTGCCCAGGCTGGAGTGCAGTAGTACGACCTCCCTAGGCTCAAGCGATCCTCCTATTTCAGTCTACAGAGTAGCTGGGACTACAGGTGCATGCCCAGCTAATTTTTGTGTTTTTGGTAGAGATGGGGTTTCTCCATGTTGCACAGGCTGGTCTTGAACTCCTGTGCTCAAGCGGACAGCCCCACTTTGGCCTCCCAAAGTGCTGGGATTGCAGCTGTGAGGTACCACGCCCAGTATCATTTACACTGAATAATTATTTTATCTATGTCTTTGCCATTTTGTTTTCTGCATTATTTGTGGGGTTTTTTTGTGCTATTATTTTACTGTTTGGTGAGTACATATATTTTCCCCTTAATAATTTGAAAGTAAGTTGCCAAGCATCATGACACTTTAAATACTTCAGCATATGGTTACCCCAAATAAGGACATTATCCTACATAACCACAACACTATCACCACATCTACAATAACTGATAATTATTCTTTAATATTATTTAATACTGTGTCCATATTCACACTTTTTCAATTGCTCCCAAAATGTCTTTTAGAACTGTTTTTTTCCTATTAAGAACCAATCTTTTCTTTTTTAGGGGCACTGTCTTTTGAAGAGACCAGGCCATCTGTTTCACTTGTGGGGTTTGTCTTACTGTTTTCTTGTGGTGGAGTTTTTGGTGAAGTTTTGAAGAAGGATGAAAACACTCTGGAGCTTGAGCTGGAATCCCTGGGCTGCCCCAAGGACACATGCTCTGCTGCCTGTTGAAAATGAGGGAAGAAACCAATAAACAGGGAGCATTCATTTCTTTCTTTATTGCAGCAAAACATACATAACATAAAATTCATCATTTTAACCATTTTTAAGTGTACTATACAGTTCAGTGGCATTAGGTACATTCACGTTGTTGTGCAACCATCACCACCATATACATCTCCAGAACTTTTTCATCTTCCCCAGCTGAACCTCTGAGCCTACTCAACACGAACTCTCCATTCTCCCCTTCCCTCAGCTCTGGCAACCACTATTCTACTTTTTGTCTTTGTGAATTTCACTACTCCAAGTATCTTACACATTACTTGTCTTTTTGTGATTGGCTTATTTCACTTAGCATGATGTCTTCAGAGTTCATCCATGTTACACCGTGGTCAGCATTTCCTTTCTTTTTAAGGCTGAATAATAATCCATTATGTGCATGGAACACATTTTGTTTATCCATTCGTCTGTTGACTGACACTTGGGTTGCTCCCACCTTTTGGCTAATGTGAATAATACAGCTATGAACATGGTTTTACAATTTTCTGATTGCATCCCTGCAAGGCACACTCTTTTTTTTGTTTTGTTTTGCTTTTTTGAGACGGAGTCTTGCTTTGTTGCCAGGCTGGAGTGCAGTGGTGCGATCTCAGCTCATTGCAATCTCTGCCTCCCGCCTCCCGGGTTCAAGTCATTCTCCTGCCTCAGCCTCCTGAGTAGCTGGGATTACAGGCAAGCACCACCACACCCAGCTAATTTTTGTATTTTCAGTAGAGACATACACCATGTTGGCCAGGATGGTTTCGATCTCCTGACCTCATGATCTGTCTGCCTCAACCTCCCAAAGTGCTGGGATTACAGGTGTGAGCCGCTGCACCTGGCCAGGCATGCTCATTTTTACCTTATGTTGTGGAACTAGCCCTCATGCATCCTCTGATAACTGGTAATTTTAGAAATCATGTTTCAAATCTGAATGATTCTCTCCCTTCAAAATCTAACATGAAACAACTCTGTCAGTCTTGCCATTATCTGGGTTTACATCCATCTATACCAACAAGAGAAATGTGGGCACGACTCACAGCAGGTGTTTCTGCATTGCTTAATGTGGTAAGTATACTGATTATACTATTATGGAGTAAGAAGACAAACATTCCAAGCTTTTAAAGCTAAATTCAAAGGCCAGAGATGCCTTTTTAAATCAACCTAAAGCATTTTTAATCTGTTAGGCTCCCATACTTCAGAGGACAGGCCTATTAAAGGCACTTACTCCAAGATTCCAAATGTACACATGTGATTTATATCTAGCTATCCACAAAGTATGAGAGGAAGCAGGGCAAAGTAGGATGAGCTCTGAACTGGATAATGAGGAGATAGGGATCCAGTATCTGGACTCTGTTGATAACCGTGTGACCTGGGGCAAAGCCTCAACTTTTTTGTGCCTGGATTTTCTCATCTGTCAAATGGGAAGTTGGCTTATAGCCCTCAAATGCTATGATGGGCTGAGCTACATTTTATTTTTTGTTATTATTGTTTGCAGAAGTCTGTAATAGGAAGTCAGGTGTGGAAATGGGGAAGCACTGAAGTTGAGTTCACAACTTAGTGCACACAAATTAGTTGGGTGACCTTGTAGAGATTCTGTAATTTTATGAGCCCATATTTTCTAAAAAATTGTTGTGCAAAATGGGGATGGTAAATGCTACAGAGCAGTGATGAAGATGGTAAGTCATCAGGTATGATGAAAGAGCTTTGGAAACTTTTAAGGTGCTATACAATCACATGAGAGTGATTACATGGTGATTTTAAACTGTAAAGACCTCTATAAATGTAAGGAACTACTGGAGACCTTGTAAGGATACTTACTAGGACTAAATTACTATTCTCCTAAGTAAAGACACTAACCTTACAGACTCATATAAACTCAGTATTTTACATTAAAAATAGACTATAGCTCATGCCTGTAATCCCAGCACTTTGGGAGGCCGAGGCCAGCGGATCACCTGAGGTCAGGAGTTCGAGACCAGCCTGGCCAACATGGCGAAACCCTGTCTCTACTGAAAATACAAAAATTAGCTGGGCGTGGTGGCATGTGCCTGTAATCCCAGCTACTCGGGAGGCTGAGGCAGGAGAATTGCTTGAACCCGAGAGGTGGAAGTTGCAGTGAGCAGAGACTGTGCCAGTGCACTCCAGCCTGGGCGACAGAGCAAGACGCAGTCTCAAAGAAAAAAAATAAATAAATAAAAAATAAAAAATAAATAGATTATAACTCACATTCTTCTCTTCCCAAGAATCCATTTTTAGTGGCCCTGGGTATTTCCTGAAATTGCTGGGAATGTTGTGGCAGATCCTCCCCACCTCTATTTTATAAACTTTCATCGGCTGTTTGAAATGCTTGCTTTCTTTCACTCCAGAACTTGTTGCAGCATATCTTGTTTCAACAACCCTCCAGCCTGCCAATGGAGCTTTGGTTTTGCCAGTTGTGATGACTCTGAAGCTCTGTGTCAGTTCTTTTTATTCCTGGAACACTTGATCAGCTAGTTGGGTTGCATGTTGTTTTAACCACTGAAGAGCAGATTCCCAGGCTTTGCTGTGTTTTACAATCTGTGATTTAGCTGTGACTGTTTTAACAAGTGCTCCCTGCCAGAGCTTCAAATAGTCCCTGTCAACAGTTGTTCCATCTACTCTTTCCAGTAGCACAACCCTCTCTTTGAAGGAACATGCTGTGTTTTCAGTTCAACGGGGACTATTTGAGGGAAAGAATACAGGAAGTGATGAGCTCAGGATTAAGCTAATGACTCAATGGATGACAGATTGCTTTAGAAGCTGGGTGTGGTGGCTGTAGTCCCAGCTACTCAGGTGGCTGAGGTTGGAAGATTACTTGAGCCCAAAAGTTCGAGGCCAGCCTGGGCTATATAGCAAGACCCCCATCTCAAGCAAACAAACAAAAAGCCCAGATTGTTTTAGGGTCAAGGGTGATACGCAATGCTAAACAATTAGTATGCCTAGGAATCACCTGGAATTCAAAATGAAAGTGCAGATTTCTGGACCTGACCCCAGATATCCTCTGATTAAGAAATTCTGTCCTCATAAATGAGACTAAAAAAAAAAAAAAAGAAAGAAAAGAAAAGAAAAAGAACTTCTGGAGTGGGTAATGAGGTTCAGACACACTACCTTAGCATATCAGACATTTTAAACTGAAGGAATTTGAGACATGGCAGGTACAGAAAGGACTTTCTTTTCTTTTTGAGATGGAGTCTCGCTCTGTCGCCCAGGCTGTAGTGCAGTGGCGTGACTTCGGCTTACTGCAACCCCTGCCTTTCGGGTTCAAGTGATTCTCGTGCCTCAGTCTCCTGTGTAGCTGGGATTACAGGTGTGCGCCACCACGCCCAGCTAATTTTTGTATTTTTAGTAGAGATGGGGTTTCACCATGTTGGCCAGGCTGGTCTCTTAACTCCTGACCTCAGGTGATCCACCGGCCTTGGCCTTTCAAAGTGCTGGGATTACAGGCATGAGCCACCACACCCGGCCTAATTTTTGTATTTTTAGTAAAGACAGGCTTTCACCATGTTGGTTAGGCTGGTCTCGAACTCCTGACCTCAGGTGATCTGCCCACCTCGGCCTTTCAAAGTGCCGAGATTACAGGTGTGAGCCACTGTGCTTGGCCAGGAAGGACTTTCTGACCATCCCCTGAAGGAGGTCATAAAACCCTCATCTGAGAGATGCCCTCTCTATACTGGCAAGAAATGAGCATCCTTGTCTCTAAAGACAAAGGGACACAGAGAAGAATCTGAACTCATAGGCCTTGCTGTTGCCCTCAGTTTACCATGCTTAGCTCACACCCTTTTGTCTTATCTCCACCACTCCCCACTCTTCATCAAACGTAGCATAAAACAACTCAGGTTTTACCACTTCTCTGAGTCTCCATTTCTTTATGAAGGCTGCCATGCTTTCTAAAACTTTACACTTATTAAATACATGTGTATGCTTTCCTCTTGTTAACCTGTCTTTTGTTACAGGGGCCACAGCCAAGAACTCAGAAGGGTACAGAAAAGCTATTTTCCCTCCCCTACAGTGGGGTCATTTTACACATGCTCCTGGGTGATTCTGATGCTGGGGTCCACATTTTTAGAAACTTGGTGGAGAACACCGGTTCTCCTATGATTGTAAGTAAGTTGACTCTGGACAGACCACAAATTTACTTTGCTTCAGTCTCCACACTCACAAATGGCTATAAAAGCAGTAACCATCTTTCCTTCCTCACAGGTTTAAAATAGGAGTACAGTGAGATAACAGATCCAAAACCTTTGTTTGTTTGTTTGTTTGTTTGTTTTGAGATGGAGTCTTGCTCTGTCGCCCAGGCTGGAGTGCAATGGCAAGATCTCGGCTCACTGCAACCTCCACCTCCTGGGTTCAAGCAGCTCTCCTGTCTCAGACTCCCAAGCAGTTGGGATTACAGGCACCCGCCACCATGCCTGGCTAATTTTGTATTTTTAGTAGAGATGGGGTTTTACCATGTTGTCCAGGCTGGTCTCAAACTCCTGACCTCAGATGATCTGCCCGCCTTGGCCTCCCAAAGTGCTGGGATTACAGGTGTGAGCCACCATGCCTGGCCTCATTTTGAAAAGTAAAGAGCTCGTGCTAGTGCAAGACACCCTTATCCTTCTCAGCATTCTTTTGCATCAATGGAGCATACCCCAGTCAACAACCCATCTTGCCCTCACCCCCACAGACACTTCTAGGTATTCGCTTGAAGGGATGAAAGCTTCAAGAACCTGCCTTTTGTCCATCTGGTCCAGACAGGCTCACATAAGTTTATGCCCTTCTAAACAGAGTATGACAGAACCACACACATTTCTGCCTGAAATCTTGCCAAGATAGAATCTGAGATGACTCTCCTAATAGGCCTAAGTCTTCCTTGAAATCTAGGCACATCTGCATCTTTAATGATCCCATTAACTTCATTTTCCACAATGTCACATCATTCCTGGGCCACACTCGATTGCACGTGTGTCTTCTCTGTGAGCCGGGGCTTACACTTGAGGGCTTGCAGTCCA